CTCTCTCTCTTCATGTTCCAAAAGGTTGTACTATGGCTATAGACCTAAAAAACTAAGGCAAATAAAAACAACAAAATTTTTAAATCGTCAGATACGTGCTGACTAAAGTTTATTTATTTATAAGTCCGTTTCGTACTAGAGAATTAGTATTAGTTCTTGCACTCTGTATAGGCGTATCCTGAAACACAATTTTAATCATTAATATTTACTATATGTACAGGATCACAATTTAGAGTTTTATTTTATAATTTTAGTGTAAAACTTGTTGAAAAGACATACTGACAATGAAATAACCCAAGGTATATGAAGATACAACTTCAATCATGCCTATTAGTAATATACGATCCAGAAGCGTTAAGTATTAGTGCACTTAATACCTTAAACATAAATAAATACATGAGATGTACATGTCTATTCTTTCTTGAAAAAATCTTAAGGGATAATTGCAACTTAGTTGTATAACTAATTAATAGTTTGGTGGCTACTTATCTTGCACACAGTACTTATTCCACCACGTCGAGAGGCTATAATACACTTCCAACTCTTGGGATTATTTTGTGACACACACTATTATTTACGCGAAATAATCCAACATATTCAGGCTCCGGTATTTCAAAAAAAACTTGCATTTCCTGGAGAGTCTCACTTCGCCGACGATATGAAAACCTTTCTAAAACACGTGCATGCTCCAAAAAGTTTTCAGAAAGGCCTAAATCTCCTATATTTCATTAATTTATTAATAATATAAACTAGATGAACTGTGAAATGTTGCCTTTGAGTAACATCTGACAAATCTGATTATTTGACGTATAGGAATTCACTCTTTGCAAACCATTTTACGAATTTCCATTGAAAAGTGTCATATTAGATGAATTGCAAATATGAAACACTTTCAGTTCATATTATGAATCATCAAAATGTTGTCTTTTTATGACATGACATTTGTCACATATTATGATTCAGATATGAAACGTACAATGTTACCTTTTTAGCCCCCCTTATCTACAATATTATAAACACTTAGCATTTTTTAAATCCATATGGAAACAAAATATTCCTTACTTGACTAATTCGTTGTAACCTTCTATGTACGCTTCAATGACAACGTCATCTTCTTCTTTCAGGCTTCTTTGGAAGCACTGGTGAACATGGTGTAAGTCCAAAGCGTTTTCGTTCGACATTTCTTTTAAAATACTGTAAAATAATTTTGAATCACTACTGCACAAACGACACCACTTTTCAACAACTGACTGAGAGACTGACGTTGACGTTGACAAAACAAAATGACATTGTTTTTTATCAGCTGCCAGCTATCGCGTCTGTGGCTGTCAGAACACAAGTGCGTAAATTGGAACCAAATCAAATTGGAATCAATAGAAAATCAAACATCAAATCAATTAGAAATTAAATCAAAATATTATCATCGTCGAAAATTATGTTGGTCATCATCGTCAGTAGTTAAGATAGACTCGAATAAATATGTTATTTACCTGTTAATCTAGTTCTTTAATCATAATGAAATATTGCTTTACTTTTTCAACATCTATGTCTGGAATGTTTTTTTGTTTAATTACTTTACTGTTATTATAAGTATTTAATAAATCATATGAATACAATTATTACCAAAAAGATAGATAAAAATAAAATATTGCTTTTATATCGTTTTGTTATTGCTTGCTCAAATCATGTGATTCATTCGCGTCATTTCATTTCATTCATGCAATTTTGAACTGTCAGGTCAGATGACTGTCAGTGTCAAAATTATCCCAAGGTCTTGGATTGGAATGAATTTCGTCCTGCTATCTAAAAAATATTTACTTTCCGTTTCATAGAGATAATAAAGTGCTAACGATAACAAATAAACGGTGGGTCAATTTGCATATTATGTAAAATATAGTGTATATGAACGCAATAACAATTATATTTCAACATCCGTCGCATTAAATTATCCGGTAAGTGTTATTTTTCTACCAACATGCAAAAATATGACAAGTTTCACAATTTATTTTTAGTTACGGCGTCGAGTGGCTCTAGCACACAAGTATTCAGGTTAATCAGTGGTACGCGGTTCCTTCAATAAGTAGTATTTAGTGTTCATTTTTTACTTTAATGAATATTTTATCTTTATTTCTTGGAAGTGCGTCACAACTCTCATTGTTTACAAAGGGACTTCCCGTGTGAATTCGTCTAACCAACTTGTTACACAGGTTAGTTTTATTTTGCTATTTATCTTTTACTGACTTGCTAATTTGTTGAGTAGGTAAAAAGTGAGTAATTTTGATTATTTATTGGGTAATAATAGCTTTTATCAAGGAGGGTTTTATCCATATCAATTTAATTGTTTACCACTGCGTTTTGTTTTTGCTGGACAAGTTTTTTGGTAAGTGTATTAAAACTTAAAATAAAAATTGGGGTAGAGTAATAATAGGTATATAATAATCATACCAAAAATATGTGTTTATTTTATTTAATACTAAAAGTATCCTGTTATGGGAATTTTAGGTAACATAAGACCTTTTGAAACTATAATTGATTATTAAGTATATAAATAACAGTTATGTAAGTGCAAATTGATAACCACCACAGGTCATGGCAATTTTCATTGTTGAGTATTTAACTCGTCGAGTACCGTCATTATAGACACAATTATAGAACAATAGGTTGCGGTCACCGGTGACCACTTGGTGTTTGACAGTTTAATTATCATACATAAAAACTTTTTTATATTATAGTCTATGATCAACTTTAGCCATTTATATTTTTGTATTCTATGAGAATACTGCATGCAACATGTGCAAAAACATTACATTGCACAAAACATCATGCATGAATGTGACTGAAAGGAGATTGTTGTGCCAACAAAATATACTATCATAGACAAATACAGAACAGTGGTTGCTATCAGACATGCATGTTATTATCAAAGTTGACACAGTGATTAAGAGCAATAAAATTTATTTAAAATCAAATAAGTATTGTAACAATGTTATAATGTAATAGTTACCTTCCATGCAAGATAATATTTATTTTATATTCTGTTGTCTTGTTATGTACTAACTTCCTGCACTGAATGTAAAGTGTTATCTGTAATGCACTTAAATGATTCTATAAAAAAAATTGGTTATTGTTCCGTGAAATGGAAGAGATGTGTATCTGTTAATTTGAAATAATTATTAAGTAGTTTGTTATATTTTTATTTTAAAGTGTCCATATGGACATTGTTACTGCATCCTATTTGGTAACAGTAGACCATATGGTGTGACCCATTTTGCCCCTTCTACTCTATGCCTTTCCTTTGTGCTGTATCTTTCTTTGATATAACATTTTATCCATTATTTTTAAACTACAAAATTCACTATTCAAATTTTGATGTAAAAAGTATTTTATAATTTTTATCTTACAAAAATTATTAATTTACATCTGTCTGTTTTATTTTTTATGAAATAAAACCGTAATAAAGTATGTATGTGTGTTGGAAAATAAGATAAACATACAAAATACACAGTAACAGCTAAAAATTAAATATCATAAATTAGGTAATGAAAAGAAATAGCAACATCATTTCAGTTTGAACAATTGTTTCAGACTCTTTTTTTCGTAATGTTCAGTACAAATTAAATTTTATTGATTTACACGGCGGGTTAGGTGTTGTGTTAGCAATAAATGTGTAGAATACATTAAACATACCTCTTAAATAACAGGAAAAGGAAACAATATTTCCCTTAGCCCCTTGAATGCACCAATTAGAAAATACTTTGTGTCTCGCATGGATCCACGTTTAGACTCACGAAAAGTTAAAGTAGTCTCAAATTAGTCAATGTAATTTCCAATAATATGTTTATTATTTCATTATCATTGTCACAATTGGCTACTTGCTAACTAGTCAATTTCAATACTTTTTTCGAACTGTCAAAAATGACAGTTTTCTATGAATTTTGTACGAGATTGTGTATTATGACGTCGTGTTTTTTAGCGCCAAACGACATATATTACTTATTTCTTAAAAAATTGCTGGAAGAATACTAAAATCAAGTTGAATGACTTGAAGATTATTTTTTAATATTTTATTGTATTTAACAGTCGAAATAATTTGTTTTGAAAGTATCTAATTTATTTATTTTGTAGTACCCTAGTTTATCAATGAATATTTGCGTTGATAAATATCAATCAAAATTGAACTCTCCTACCACAAAATAACACTTACAATGCCTTGCCTTTAAAGTTATGTAAGGAAAGCTTTCTCTTATCATGATTCAGTTCAGTAATGGGGACCCTACTTGTTTGTTTTGCCTTAAGTAAGTAGGTAGTTCTAGTTTGCTACCCACGTATCTGATAGCTTGACAGAATACATGAGCCATTATTATACTCAAGTTTAGCACCTTCATCATGAATAGTCCAATCCTGTCCATTGTAATTTGAGATATTTTTTTAATAGTTGAACTGCAAATTCCGGCGCGATGTTGCTGCTCGGCTCCTACTTGTGGTAGTGTGGTGTTTAATACATTATAGACTTCCTCGATAAAGCTGATTTGTAATAATTTCAACTTATCAAAGAAATACATAAACTAATACTACTGTACAATACCAGTAATATATTTGACTAAAATAATAATAAGAAGTAAGATTAAATATTTACAGCTTAAAAATAAATTAATATTATACGTATATAAGAAAATAGGTACCTAAGTAATAGAAAGAAAAGGTAAGAAAACAAAAAAAAACCTAATTTACGGCGTCGAAAAAATTACCCTTATCGCAGTCGTTAGGTAGGATGCCCAAACTGGTAGCATTGCCACATTGGACGGCAATGTATATGTGTTCAAATTCAAACAAACCTGCAAAAGAATAGAACCTGCAAAGAATGGCTAAAATAGGGCTTTTACAGGTACACTGATAACTACCTACTGTGACGTAAATATTTTTAAACTTTGTAGGACCAAATGCCTATGTTATTCAAGCGTGAAATAAGTATTTTTTGTCACCAACAGACAATAAGACGACATACTTTTTGCCTGGTCAACCTTGCCACAAGATTAAGAAAATGGCTGTTTATTTTACGCGCTAATAAGTTCATTGAACTCTGTGAAAACCATAAAACATTGAAATTAAAATATCTATAATACTATTTTAAATGTTTTTCCATGGAAGCTAAAAATGTTTTCCATTTTGAAAGATATATTTGAAAGTCCCTATTTATTTCTAAGGAATTCTTTAGGACCTAATAATTAGGTAAGTAGGTTAATGAACTTTGAAAACTTTGAGTTTGAAGTGCAAGTAACAACAGATTAAAAATTCCTATTTATTAGACTGGAGTCTTAAAGACTTGTTACTGCCATTCATCCACTCACTGTCAATAAAAAACAATGTTAAATGACTTCATAAAGACAATCATTAAAATAATTCAGATAACTTTAATATGGATCTATAAAACTGGTTTATTACTGGTAACTATATGAGTGACAGACCACAATTACAAGCAGTTACTTAGTAGGGGAGAACTAGAAAGAAAGAAAAAACATTTATTCAGCACCAGGCACGATGCAGCGTAAAATATAAAAAAGATAATAAAGATAAAAACAGTAAGTTAAAAAATTAAAACAGAAGAATCACAAAAGAGACGCTCACTATGCATGTCACATGCCTATGCTAAATGGGTTACCCACTCAGTGCAAGTCATACGAGTCACGGGTAACCGGGGCTCCGACTCGACGTGCAGGAGAAGGAACGGGGTGGTTTTTAGTCAGTAAGAGTCTGACACTCCCTCCCGCCTCACCCAGGTGGGAGCAGTCATTTGATGATTTTCCCCTTAAAAAAATGGCATACGAGTCACCCAGCACTGATTTTCAGTGGGCACCCCAGCAGAACTAAGTTCGCGAAATTGTACGGAATGTACGGGAATGGGCAAAAGTGAATTTTTATCCATGAAACTAATAGTCACAAAGTAGTGAACAAAGCTAGATAAATACTTCATTTAACAGGCCCATTTAAATCATTGTGATAAGGTTTTATATAAAATATACAACAGTTATTTAATATGGTTGTAGGTCAATGGATTTCTAACGATATCTACCTACATAATATATATTGTTTAACGTAATGTTTTTTTTTGCCAAGCTTGGAATGAAAACAATAACAATTTACTTTGACCGACATTTCATTATTATGTAAACATTAATTTAAACAATACGGCAAACAGTGTAATTGTATTGATTTCCTTCTGTACATGCATATTTTATAATAATTAATTCATGAAAAATTAATGATAAACGTTGACAGGGTAAGAAAATTAAAAATGTAATTAGTCCGTCAGTTAGTCTAATTAGTCAGTTTTTTAATTTTGTTGTATAATAAAATAATACTTAGATATAACGAATCAAGGTTTAGGAGTGGGGGCTAAAACGTCATTTCTACGTATAAAATGTACATAGAAGTGACGTCACGCGACATTTCAAATCAATTTATCGTCGAAAGTATTCGTTTCTGTAAAAAAAATACGTGTCTAATGATTTCAAATAATCTACCTGATGGTCATTAAAATTAGTCATCTACCCTATTCTCTTAGTAAAAATGAAATAGTACATTCAGTATCTATTACTATCTATCCACATAAATAATATTATAAGCATGAATCACCGTTACTGTTCTCCTTATTGGTATTGGGCGGCAAACGATTGGACGGATCCCCTGATGGTACGCAATCGACGCCGCCCAATATATATCCGCAGTTTTGGAGAAAGGGGAGTTACTATTATGTTGCCGGGCTTCTGGGGTTTAGAGACTTGGGGATTCATTAGAACGGGCGAGGATTGGGCCTTCAAAAACCCCACTTACACGACGAATACACGACGGTAGAGTGGTTTCACGCCGATTTTCTGTGAAGCCGTCACAACCCTCACAGCCATCACTCGTATCAACCCGGTCAGTAGTGCCGAAGCATGGCTCTCCCACGAGAAATAACGTGTTCGTAATTGTTTTGTAAACAATGAATTGAATAACTATGACCATGTCGACTGTGTCCACTAAGCCGTGGGCGCCCCCCTTTTCTCAGAAAGATTATACAAACTATTATTGTCTATTGAAGTATAAGTGCGAAATGTCATACTTGCTAAAATAACAATCTATTATATCAGTTCGTTGCTCTATTATTTGAAGTGGGACAGTCACCTATTTCGTTTGGTTGACTCATAGTTTTAAAAACGACTGCCTTGTTGGCCGAGTGGTCGCAAGTGCGACTGCCGGGCAAGGGGTCTCGGTTTCGATTTCCAGGTAGGGCAAAGTATTACTTGGGTTTTTAAAAAAATTCTCAGTAGTAGCACGGAGTCTGGAATTGTGCCCGGTATATGGGCAATAGGGACTCATGGGACTCATAACATAAATAGTGAAAAGTGGGTGTTACATTGTACAGTGGGACAATGTGCACCACTGTCTACCACTTCGGGGATAAAAGGCGTGATGTTATGTTATGTTATTTGCAACTGAAAACCGAAGATGTGAAGTAGATATTTCTCCCATATTGAGATGATGCTCAGCGGCTAAGCGTTAGATAAACTTCATTCATTCGTTTAGGTCAGACAAAAATTGCGAATTGGTTTTTGTGAACAAAAAATCAATAAGCAAGCTAAGATCTGGAAATTCTGTGGGTTTTACTCCAATACCACGTTTACAAAAAACAAGTAAAGCCATTGATCCTATACTCACTTGATATTTATTCGGTTGTGGCGAATTGCTGTCTCATCGGATCGCATTAGTGAGGTGTCGTAGGCTATTCCGAGGATTTATTCATGTACTTGTGCTTTGCATCATCTGGGCAAAATGTATATTAAGTTAAGGCCATCTAAATGTAGATTAAAACAATCTAAAGACGTTATCATAAGAATGTGATCCAATCTATTGTATCTTTAACTAGGTACTTCCGCGCGGTTTCACACGCTCTGCTCAGCTCCTATTGGTCGTATTGTGATGTTTTATAGCCTATAGCCATCCTCGATAAATGTGCTATCCAACATAAAAAGAATTATTCAAATCAGACTTGTAGTTACGGAGATTAGCGCGTTCAAACAAACAAACAAGAAAACAAACTCTTCCGCTTTATATAATAGTATAAGATGAATTTTCTTCTTTCTCCTATTTCCAGATTGATGTAAGACGATGACTACATTAGTACAAAACGGGGACGACGACTCGTTTATTATCTTGGGAACTTCTCCTGGATCCAGTCTGGACATGAAGTGCCTTGAGAACGGTATTGGGAACGGTCTGGAGACCGGCGAGGTCACTTTGGACAAGGACCAGATGGAGGAGGCTATGAAGGACCTCTCTGACGAAGCTAATATGGCGTTTAAGGCGCATTTTAAGCTTGGGGATTGTGTAAGTACTTTTTACTGTCTACTAAATATAGGTCTGCCTCGTTGGCCGAGTGGTCGCAAGTGCGACTGCCAGGCAAGGGGTCTCGGGTTCGATTCCCGGGTCGGGCAAAGTATTACTGGGTTTTAAAAAATTCTCAGTAGTAGCACGGAGTCTGGAATTGTGCCCGGTATATGGCAATAGGCTCACCCCCTATTACATGGGACTCATAACATAAATAGTGAAAAGTGGGTGTTACATTGTACAGTGGCATAATGTGCACCTCTGCCTACCCCTTCGGGGATAAAAGGCGTGATGTTATGTTATGTTATGTTATGTTATGAGGTAAATAAGATATTACCACCCAAGCCAGCCACGGGAGGGTCTTCTCTACAAAAGAGGAATTTGTCATAATTTGCAGCCGTTAAGAATAATTCATTCATTTTACAAAGGGTCACTATTATATACTCCCATTGTCTGTATAAATCTGTCCCAATGTCTGTATTAAAACCTACCTGGCTCTTAGGTCCAAGAATTCATGTTGAGAAGTCACACTCAAGACCAATAACTGCACGGTTGGCACGGCGGCTGGGCAACCGGCTGCCGCGCAACGTGTAGCTAGTTCGATTCTCGCACGAAGCAACTCTTTGTATGATCCACAAATTGTTATTTCGGATCTGCGTGTCATTTTGTCGAAGAACCGATGACCGCTGGGGTAGACGTGTTCTGGAGTGGAGACCGCGTCTAGGCAAACGTAGTGTAGGGCGCCCTCCAGCTAGGTGGAGTGACGATATACGTAAAGTGGCTGGTAGTGGTTGGATGCGTAGAGCTGAAGACCGAGCTCAGTGGCGTGCCATTGCAGAGGCTTATGTCCAGCAGTGGACGGAAACAGGCTGATGATGTGTGTCATGTGGTTGTGATATTGTATGTTTTTAAACGCACCCACGACACAGGAGAAAATCCTAGTGTGGGGCAACTTTCCTTTGTTTTTAACCGACTTCAAAAAATGGTCAATGAGTCAGTCATTATTTCGAATGGTTCATAATAAAGCGAGATTTCGTACTCTCGATATGTAAAAGATTCGAAAGTACTTACCGACTTGAACATTGTCGTTGAACTGGCTTTTTTGACCGAGATCAAGATTTATGTAATGGGTGATACAATTTCGATATAGTAGGTAGATTTAAAATCAATAAGTAATCGTTATAACTACTTGTGTTTATTAATGGTTCTACTTGTTATTTTTTTGGCAAAAGGCGTGCCTTGCCTAGTCTTTTCTTACTATTTTCGAACTTTAGAAGTATATATACTGTATATAGAGTATCCACTTTTCATCCGCGCTGTTATTTCAAGCATTTTTTTATTTTTGTAGAATATGTCCTATGTATAGTGTAAACGGAACGTCCCCGAAAAATGCCGACAGGTCACACTAAAGAATTAAATGTTTCTTTATTACAATAATAATTGTAACCAACCGCTAAAGGCTAATATTAGACGAATATTACGTAAATAAAAATAATTAAAAGTGTAAAAGCTATATTTTGTGCCAACGTTTTTCGGGAAAACGGTGTAAACTTTGAGGATGAACCTGCATAGTCATGGTTGTCATGGTCATTAAGGGTATTTTAAAGTATATTTTATAGATAGTCCAGGTCAATAGGTGATGTCGATAAGGACTAACATAAAGCATGGCCGATAAAAATAATTGAAGAAAACAATAATGTGCGTAGTAAATACGTAGACGTCGATACTGACCTCGTATGAGACAGCTCTTTAAATTTTCAAGTCTTCTCCAGCTCGGTTCTAGTGCTAGTCAATTCGCCGCCAGTTTCATATTTTGAAAGGAAAGGTTTGATATAATCTCCGTACTTGGCAAAAGGTTTGAAGATCCTGATTCAAAAGCTTTTAAGTGTATCAATTATCATTTTTAATTGATAGAATTAAAAAAAAACAAAAACGAGTATCAACAAGCAAAGTCCATTTATGTCAATTTCAAATGTAGTCCCTTAGACTCCTTGGTTAACTTTGACCGAAGAGTAAGGGTGATAAATATATTCTATCCTGTTGTCATCACATGGTTTATGCGACACTAAAATAGTATTTCACGAATGGGCCGGTTCGGCCGTAATGATACCACGGCCTCACAGCAAAACCGACGTGAATAACGCTTGCGTTGTGTTTCGTCGTGTGAGTGAGGTTACCGAACGTCCAATGACCCCTCCTCCCCAATCTGCCCAATCCACGAATCCTCGACAATACTAAAATTCCCCAATTCCCAAAAGACTGGTACCGCACTTGTAACGCCTCTGGTGTTTCGGGTGTCCATGGGCGACGCCGATTGCTTACTATCACGTGATCCGTCTGCTCGTTTACCGGCTTATGCCATAAAAATATATACGTATGATTGTTATGATTGTTATTATAAAGATTCTATGCATTGTCACAATCTACAGAGTGTAGCGAAACACTCATGCTTGCCAATTGTATCTGTTATCTCTCGTTCAATCAATATTCTGCGTATGATAAGCGACAAGCGACTGATGCAATCCTGATTCTCAATAATCTCCTGTAGTGTCTACAATATTTGTTTCTTACAATATTTTTTTGGTTTTTCACCCGCTTTCTCGAAAAGAACTGAACCTAGATGCTTACTCTTGAAACCAATCTCAATGTCAATGCAATTTCAATCCAATAAAATCTCAATAATTATCCAATGTCAAAACTATACAACCCCTATCGTAACTGCTAAAGTAGCATTTAGAGTACGGAATATAAAACCAAACTTAATACCATTTAGTTCATGAAATATCCACGCAATACGGATGCAAACGGCGCTAGTGTTACAACTTAAGAGTACGAAATTTCACAATGTCAATGTCGATCGATCGGAATTGGATTCAAGAGGATCGGATCGGAATTGATGATTCGTGATCAACAGATGTTTTAAAAGTAGATAGCTTTTTGCTACCTTACACTAACAATAGCATGTTTTTCACTTAGCGGTGCTCTCTCTCCGTACAACTATTTTTCCAGTATCCACCCATTAGTTTAGCTGTAATCGTGTAGTCTAAACAAGGCCACTTCCTTCAATGACTCCCCAAGCGTATGAACATTAATAAAATAATAACATTCTCCATTCATATGAATATTTTCCTGTAAAAATTGAGCTGTTAGTCGTTTGAATCATGCCTCTGTAATGTAACAAACTCTCTTTGACATTGTTAGGTATGAACTCATGAAGATTCATTCAACAGGGAATTTACACTGTACAGTCCCTGATTAATGATTTTAAATTGCAGTTTCAATTGTGTTACTGTTTCAAGTCGTTTCATTCAGTGCCCGATGTGAAGTTATAGGGTCTGTTACTCACCTTTAGTACAGGCTGTACAAAGTATTTTTTAAAGTAAGGAAGAGCCATGCCTCGGCACGAATGGGCTGGCTCGACCGGAGTGATACCACGGCCTCATAGAAAACCGACGTGAAGCAACGCTTGCGTTGTGTTTCGTCGTATGTTCCCCACAATCCTCAAATTCCTAAGTCCCAAATGGCCGGTATCGCACTTGTAATGCCTCTGGTGTTCCAGGTGTCCATGGGCGATGCTGATGGCTTACCATCAAGTGATCCTTCTGCTCGTTTACCGGCTTATATCATAAAAAAGTATACAATTATAAACAGTACCTAATACTCTTTATTGTCCATAGTCATTTGTGAATTGTGTATACATACCTATTAAATAGGTTCTAGCACTACCCCTCTATTTTCAGCCATGACCTTGTACAGTTATATACTTTAAGTCATCCTATAATTTACCTGAAGAAATTAACAGATAGCGATGCATAATATGTATGTTTTTATCATATCAGAAGCGCGATCAAACAGTCCAAAGTAAATAATTCTTCCGTATTCACAATTTAAGGTCATACAAAGTCAGAATAGGTCGTATTACTTTTTTTGAATCTGTTTTTATTACGGGGTTTTTATCTTTGATATGACAACCCCTATCGTGATGGGGTATTACTTAATATTACGTTTTACAGCTACGTCACTTAACTTTAATACGCTCCGGGATTTTTTGAAGTAAGTTATCAAAAGTTATCAGATGTCTTGTAACTTGCTATCGGCATAATCAATCAGAAAATAAATTCGGTTTACAAGGCAGTCTGTGATGTGTTTACACATATTAGCTTAATCGTTAAATAATTCCTTGGACAAGGCTGTGAATATATTAACGGTGACCAGTAGCTAAAATTAATCGGTATTCGATTTCACATTTCTTATTGAAATTGTGGTCGTTTTTCTGGGTTTTTTTCTTACTTCTGTCGCTTTTGTTGCACTCTGGAATGTGGATAACAAGAAAATTAAGAACCTCTTTAAGTTCAAGTTTAAATGTAGGTTTTCGAACAGGAATACATATGCAGGTAAACGGGGTATTTTTTTTGTAATTTTATTGTTGATGAAATCAAGAGCAAGGGGAAGTTTTATCCAGAGGTTCAAATCCCGCCTGAAAATGCGAAGTAAAGGATGTACGGCAGTGTTTGCCTCGCACTCAACTTGGCGGGAACACTGCCGTGCGCCCAGATCTTAAATTACATTTATGTATGTCGGATCTATATATAAAACACTGGATTGGGGAAAATACAATAACCTTTCACCTTATTACACACAACGAACCACTACCCATGAATCACAAACTTTTTATTATGCAAATCGATTTTTTGTTAAAGTTGGCAAAGTAAATACATTTCTAATCAGTGTTATGTTTGTGTTTCGCAGGTCTGTGTGTGCATAGCTTTAGTTTGCGGCACGTGTCACTGAAGGGGGTTTACCTCAGATAATTTTATGAAAGAAATAATTCACAGGTCGCAGTCACATAGTTGATAGCATTCATTTTATTCTAGACTTTGTTTGTGATCGGTTTTGGAGACTAGGTTTTTGGTTTTGTGGTAGAAAGTTTAGTCTAAGTGTGCCTAAAAATCTGTCTCCTGTTCGTAGTTGTTGGTTTGTTATTGTGGGTTACTTTTGTGTATGGAATTCGTTGGGATTGGCCAACCTTTGAGTAAATGAGAGCGGTATGTCATTTTCGCCAAACTTCAATCTTAAAAAGCTCAAACGAATTTGACTGATACTTCTTCTCAGTCATACACTCCTTATTTGATTGATAAGTGCTAACAAATCCTTCTCTTCTTCCTTCAGCCATCTCCAGCTAGCATGATGGTAGCCAGCACCATCATAACGGATGACAGAAGCACAGAAGAGCTCCAGAAGCGATTCGGGGAAATTCTAGACGAAAATGTGATATTGAAGGAGACTTTGAAACAGAATAATGAGTCTATGAAGGAACAGTTCCTTCTGATAGCGTCCTGCCAGGAGGATATGATGAAGACACATGTTCTTCACAAGGAGAAGTTTGAAGAGACCAAAGGATTGGTGGAGAAGGTATGTGGCTTTGTTTCTTTTTTCGTGTACCTAATAGTCAGGGCCGTCTCACACTATGCTGGGGACCTTGGCTCGTAATAATTCGGGGCCCTGTTATGTTTCTTTTTTTCACGTTGCCTCACTAGGATTTTCTCCTGTATCGTGGGTGCGTTTATAAACATAAAAGTTCACATACACATGACATAGATGTCATGTGTCATGGGTCTAGAGACCCGAAACAATAATTTGGCAATCTCACAAAGATTTGCTCCGTGGGAACCCGTTACACGTAGCGGGGCAGCCGGCTGCCGCGCAACATATAGCAGGTGTAGATACCCTAGAGGATGGAGGCCCTGAACACGGGACCCGTGTACCCTTATAGTGAAGATGGTACTGGTAATAGTTTTACTTGTTTTGTGGATTCGTATATATTAAGATTAATTAGATGCTACGATTTGCTCACTTAACAGTTAGAGGATGTTGCTCGACTGATTACAAGCTAAGAAAGGGGCTCATGATTTTTTTTAAATGTAGCTACGTCTTAATTATTTTTATGTTGGGTTTTTAAAAATAGCCGTATTTGTAATATATATATATAAGTTTGAAACGGGATTGTACCTCTACTTTCTCCCATAAGGTTATTTATGTTACCTACATGAATCATAAAGTTTTGTGAGTCATAAAATGTGTTTTTGCATAGGTACTGTACTGAGTAGCCAGTCTTATCAGGAGATACATTTAGAAGTGGGTTTTGCCTACCGTTTCATGTAAAGTTATTTAAAGGGACTGTGGCGACACATGTTACATGTCAATGGATGACATCTCAAAATCCTACATCGCACAAGTAAAGTTTACAAGCGAATAAACATGGATAGAAAATCCCAACGAACAAGAAAGCCCGCCAGGCACGATCACCTCACCTGGTCGGAAGATCCTCCTTTTCCGATATTAACTATACTCTCTGTTCCCTAAAGGACCCTTTCATCAATATACTTCTTAATTATGAATTTCTTACGAAAATAATCTTCTTTTATTTATTTATGCACAACACAGAGACAGTACACATGAGAACACATATATAAATAAATTGGAGGTACATAGGTACTACACATTCCCGGAGGTATCTCTTCCTGCAGTCCTTCGACAGGAAAAACAGTAAAAACAGTAAAAACTAAGACACTATGTGTAACATGGCATGAACAAATCTCTTTCATCATCGATCTTCTTTCACATATATGAAAAATAATTACATGTGCACCTCTGCTTAGCCCTTAAAGAGCATAATTTTAAGTCACGTACAATTAGTTTTATAATTTATATTCCACAGCTCCGCCAAGAAAACAAAAAGCTGAAATCAGAAATAGCAAGATTAGCTGACACTGAAGCGAAGTCTTTAGTCAGTAGCGAGACTGGTGAGTCAGTGGTGGCGAGCAGTGTGGTGGACCCTGCACCTTCAGGTCCATCATCAGCTCTCGAGTTTGTGACGTCACCAGACGATGATACCATCAACAAATTGACCTCGCAGCTGGAGCTAGTAGAAAAGCAAAGGAGACAGGTAAATTTTTATTTGTGTATAGATTAAAATGTAATTATAATAAAATTTATCTTTATTACCTATTTTTATTGGTATTCAATGACTAGCTTGTCTAGACTAGATTAGTTTTCTCTTTATTGATTAGTTAAACTCTTGATTAGACTACCAGTTTGTTTGTTAGGGTCGATTTTAGCCATTAGAATTTTACCCCTTTTCTGACGTCAGACCAATCCGATACAGCATGTTTGTTTTACGTTTAACGAGACCGAAACGAAACCACGTTTTGCGCTCTGATTGGCCCGCTCCATTGATACAACCAATCAGTGTGCCGGACCCGGTCTCGTTTAATTAAAAATTGACAATCACGTAGAGTGGGTACTGTACTTAGGTACAGTAGAAATTCCACCATTATATATTTTTTCTCATTTCTCATTATATTGCAAACATGGAGAATTAAGAAGTAATATTATATTGTATAATTACAGGTGATTGTAGACAACGAGAAGCTGACTTGGCAGAAAGAGTCTTTAGAACACATAGTGGATGCTACGTCCAAAGAGAGAGATGACCTTAGAGAAAAACTTAAGAATGCCGAGGTAAGGTTGACGTCTTTATGACTTTATTGAGGAAAATCTATAAATAAATATCTCGTTGTCCAAGTGGTCGAAAGTCCTTTTATCCGAGCTAGTCAAAAGGAGATTGACCAAAAGCAGTCTAGCAAAGTTTCAAGTTGAAAAATCAAAATAATATAGAAATAATTTTCTTATTTTTTACAACCTTTTCACTTCAGGAATTGTATTTTCGTATCCGGAATTATGATGATAAGATTAATAGTAACATAAAAATTGCTATGGAATTTCCGTTTCAAGGACATTGACGTTCCGTGCTAACTTACGAATAAAACTTCGTGTTTACGAATCACATAAGTAGAACCTTTCGGCAAAATCATCACAAGAAATATGTCAACTTCAATAAATAGCTAAATAATTTGTAATATCAATACATTTTACAAAGTATTTATTTAGTATTTTGTAGTATTGTTACAATTATAATTATTTTTGTGTTCCGTCTCACGCAGAAGCAACTGTCATGCATGACATGTGACAGACAGAGCGGCGGCATTTGGATGCGACGGCTAGGGATGTCGTATC